CCTGCTGAAGTTCACAGGTTTGAATGCCTCACTTGGAGTTCCCCCTTCACATTGCCCCTGGTAAGATAAGGACCTGTCACCCTCTTTAAGGGCTTCCAAGAACACCATTAGATGATACTGCAGGGGAAAAAAAAAACCCACAAAAAACCCAGAATCTGTGGATGCTTTGAGAATGATTCAGATTGCCAGCAGTCCATTCCATTAATGGACCTCATATTATATGACTTATACTGTATCACTTAGGAAACACAAAGCAAGAGAAATGGGCTTCACTTCTGCAAACAACCATCCTGGTGCTCTCTATTAAACTTTGTAGGTAACACACCCAGGTAACAACACAGATTCTGCACAAAGACCTGCAAAGGTGACACACAGTTTTTGCAGGAATCGTCAGCTCCAAACACTACTAAAACCAGTGAAGCAACCCTGATTTATATCTGAGAGAAGCAGTTCCCCAAACACTGGAGAAAATTAAGCTCTTAATTAAAGAGGAACACCAAGACAAACACAACAAATAAATGGTTGTGAGGCCTCACATACTTCACTTCAAAAGCGAAGTCCTAGAGAGTAAAAATCTTTAAAAGACTAGAATTTAATAGAAATAATTATTATGTAGCTGGTCCCCTTCCATTGCACCAGTTTATAAACCTATTTGGATTACACATACATTTTTAAAAAAATTAACTTTGATAACCACTTTAGCAGAAATAGGTATTTGAAGCTTTCATAAATGGATCTTTGAGTGGAAGGAAAATTCTGTACTTCCCAGTAGAGGGAGCACTGGGCTAGAGAACATCAGAAACCTTTCACAAATGAACATGTTAAAAAAAATAAATCCCAGATTAAAACAAATTGTTAGATTTATAAGTGTTAAAGCCAGATAATTTCCTGTCCTTCCCCCCGTCCTTTTCTCAAATTCTGGCCTCTTTCGTAGAGCTCTGCTATTCAGATTTATAACACTTTACCCCAGAATGCTACGAAAGCGGAGATATGAGGTGGCTTCATATACAAACCTCTGCACAGACAGGATGAATTCCTATGGTGCTGTCCAGCTGTTCTTTTGTCATCCCACATTTAATAGCAGCTGCAAACCCTTGAGTGACTTCTCCAGCATTTGGACCAAGGACATGGAAACCAATGACTCTCTCCTAAATACCAAAGACAATCAAATGCAAAAGCCCAGTCATGGATTCAGTTCTCTTTAGATAACATGTAATGTTTTCTTACTCATAGTATGTAATTTCATCAGTTCACAGAATATACCACAAATTAATGTAATCACACAAATGTGAACTATCACTAGCACCAACACATGGGAGATAGTAGGTATAATTTTGTTCTCTCTCCAAATGGGAAAGATTCATCAGGAACTCAAGAATCAGCTTCCTTACAAGGTTTTGTGCAGGAGCCCTCTGTTCACATCGTCAGCACACAAACTTAACACACACCTTTATCTCTGTCTGATTATAGTGTATGTCCAAACTGCAAACATGCAATTAAATTTTATTCAGGCAAGCTATTCCACTCATTCCAATAGACTGCTTGCCTAAATAAAGATCGGCACCTTGCACAAAGGTTTGCCACATCAGGGTCTATGCTGCTCTGGCACATGATGCACATGTATTAAAGACATTTCAGTTTCATAGTTGCTTACGGGAAAGGGTCACAAGCTAAACAGATGTAGCAAGAGCTGCATTGTAACTAAACTTGTGACAATTCTTGTTGCAGTGCTCGCTGTCATTGGGAGAGAACATACCTAGAGACTGGCATAACAAACTGAAAGACACCCAGTTACAAGGAAGATTCTATTACTTCACACTTCTCACATCTGTACTACTGTTCAATTGCAAAATTTGTCAAACTGCACACATATCCTCAGCAAACACTCAACAGAAGTACTGACTTAACCTGCTTGTCTTCAAGAAAAGCAAGTCTCCGTTAAAAAATGCCAACTACCATTGCCTTCAGTGGCTTTCAGAGCATTATTCAGGTTTTGCTGAGCATAGATGTAGCCCAGTTGGGTAGCAAAAGTTATCTGCTCCTCCTGCTAAATATCACTTGTAAGGGAATGTGGATACTCAGTACTCTGAAGGGTTACTTTTTTTTCAGGAAGCCTGAGGACAGAGATTTAGCACTGGGTTTATTTAAATAAGAAAAACTATAACTGGGTAATAATAAAATTGAATTATCCTTATTTTCCTTTAAATATATGTACATATATAAAAATAAAAGAGGGTAACTACAGTTTCAGATAGTTTCTAAATACATTTTTCATCCAGGCTAACTTTCAGCTCTACCTCTAGATGTTTAAATACATTCCAAATTTTCAGGACAAGAAATGGAAACAAATTAATGAAGTTCTTTAAACCACCATTAAGCCTTTTCATATCTTAAGTAACTTTGCTTTAGGAACATAACCATGGCCTCCAAAATAGTTTCCACACTTATGCAAACTCCTCCAGAAAGAGGAGATAGGCAAAACCAGTCAGGTTTCCAAATTTTACAAAACCATGACGTGATGCTTAGAAAGACTGCATTAAGATAAATCTCTGTCTAATGGTAACATAAAATACACAAAGCAGATCTAAATTTTTTTTTAGGACTGAGAACCCCATGCTACTGTCTTAAAAGGAATACATCTTTGCAGCCTATGAATTTTCATAATAATTCATATTATTAAAGTCAACTAAATTTTTATTTAAAATATTATGATCATTCAGAGGCAGACATGTAAAGTCATTCTGCTTGTGCTTCAGCAGGTACCTTAGATTTTTATAGCCAGACGTTTTAACCTACTCCAAGGATAATCCTGGCATTATCACTCTAAATGAGATCTGTGCAGGCAAGACACATTAATCCTGTTAGAACAAGCTCAAAAGTTTTACAGACACATGTGGATTTGCAGAGATCACAAGGTGTGATGGTTTCCAACTGACCTCAATTTCAGAAAGGGAATCTCCCAGAAAAGTGGAACATCTCCCTTATGAGGAAAGGCTGAGGGAGCTGGGTCTCTTTAGCTTGGAGGAGAATGAGGGGTGACCTCATCAATGTTTACAAATATGTTAAGGGCGAGTGTCAGGAGGACAGAGCCAGGCTTTTTTCAGTGATGTCCAGTGATAGGACAAGGGGCAATGGGTGCAATCTGGAACGTAGGAGGTTCCACGTAAACATGAGAAAAAAACTTCTTTTCTGTGAGAGTGACAGAGCCCTGGAACAGGCTGCCCAGAGAGGTTGTGGAGTCTCCTCTGGAGACATTCAAAACCCGCCTGGACACGTTCCTGTGTGATGTGCTCTGGGTGATCCTGCCTGGCAGGGGGGTTGGACTAGATGATCTTTCGAGGTCCCTTCCAACCCCTAAGATTCTGGGATTCTCTGATTCTGTGAAAGAACCCTCCAGTGTGGGGAGGAGAGATTAAGATAAACACACAACTTCTAGTAATTTTTACATGCATTGCTTTGTTCATTTTTTACAGTTCATAAACAGTCTTAAAAATCTCTACTTCATGCTTCTCGTATATGAGGAAGTACCATGTACCGATGCTAATGACAGGATTTTCTATTTTACTGAGCACCATTTTTGTATAAACAGAAGTACTGCATCCCTATTAGTATTTACTGAATTTCAAAAGGTAGAAAAATTTAAATTAATTTTGTATTTGTTAAAAATAACCTATTTACAGCTGTGGTATCAACAGTCTCTACAATGAACAGATGGCTGCTGTTTTCCCTAGAAGGAAAGATGCACTTACGTTATCTGGAATATTGCAAATTATCTTTGCATAGCATTTGTTGTTGTCTCTGGATGGCACAGTCCATTCCAGTGGCCAGAAATGACTATGGTACACCTGGAAATGCAACACAAGTTTAAAAAAAATATGAATCTAAAAATATGAATATAAATTATGAAATTTCACAGCAGAGAGCACGATCTTCCAAACATTCCCAGATAATCTTAAATCTCCTTTGTCTACCTCCAAAAGCAGAGTTTTTCTATTGGCTGCAATTGCTTTTGGAAATCACAAATGTAAAAACTTCCAACAACCATGATGCACCACAAGGATGAACTAATAACTCTTCATTAGGAATCAGCCACACAGGTAGAATTCAGAATACATTATATCAGGGTGAGACTCTTTCCCCTTGATGAATGCCAAAGAATGAAGCCTCTACAAAACAAGCACTAGTGTAATCAAACACTTAAAAAAAAGAAGCCATAAGTGTAGCACATTTCCAGGATGCAGCTCACCATGCTGTCATTAAACTAGACAAATACAAGCTTCCCTCATTGAAGGCTGTGTTGTCTCTGGGTCCACCCAGTATGAAGGCAAAAATATTTCTCAGAGCAGTTAAAGGGAAGAAATAGCCTCAGAGCCTGGTTTTAGGAGAGATGAAGGCATGCTTTTTGCATGATTTCTCAGATTATGCATCATTGTAGAATGCAAAGTACATAAAAACTAAACCAAACCAAACAACAAGACCACATTCTTCTGTTTGCCCCAGCCAACACCATGGGGCAGATTCGTAACTGCAGACAAGGCTGTTCACCCACCCATATAGCACGTATTTCAGAAAATGATGGTATTTTGAGGCATAGTTCCACCCACAACTCTCAACAACTCCCACTACAAGCTAACCTCAAACTGATTATTATTTGAAGTAAATTTTTAATTGATCACCACTCCAGTAAAAATACGTCCCTTTGCAAACTACGAGAGACAGCTCAGTGTTTTTTGATATTAATGGGGCTACAAGGCATTTATGGGCATTGCTCTCTGCAACTGAAATTAACAGGTCTGAATGATGGATGCAACTCAATAATCCTACTGAAGCTTGAAAAACTCAATATGGTGACGTGATAGAGAGCTCAGAATAATTACTACTTAGCCATGATACAATTGCTTCTGGATGCACACCTTCAAAAATGGCTTTGAAGCTGGGAAGTGCATTTTCCACAAAGAAGGAATCAGTGTTACACATGGAACAGCAAGAATTTTACTCCGTAACAAAAATTTTACTGTGTATATAGAAGCTTTGTGGGTAGAAGAGAATTTAAACCTCTGACCACTAGTCAGGTTAGCAGTACTTGACACACTGCCATTTTAAGTCCTATTTATTTATTTTCTCCACAGCCCACATGAAAAATTCTAACTGACAAAGCTAAGAGGAAGATAAGTTCTCAGCTTTATGAGGCAACACTTAATCTGCTTATTTATTATATATATATTACTTAACAATGCTCCTCAGGTGATCTTCATGCAATATAGAAGTTCAGTTTATTGTCATACTTCCTACCTTCATGATTTCTGTAATGTGGACTATACAGTATTTTTTAAGAACAAGCCTTAGGCACTAAGTGCTTACAGAAGTCTAATTCTGCTCCTGACCAGCAATCCCAGTGAACGAAAAGGGACCATTCACGTGAGGAAAATTAAGCATCTAACTCCTTGCATAGTCAAAATGAATGGGAAAAATGAGCATAATAGAATTTGGCTTTGTGAAGTGAAAATCCCCATGGCAAGGAATTTACCACACTGTAGCTGCAAAGAGCTTCACTTTGACATTAAACCCAACGTGTTGCCTCCAACACATAACCAGCACTGATCTATCCTGAAGTATTTGCAGGCACAAAGAAACCTTTTCTTTTTTCTTTTAACAAAATATTCCAGACTCATTCAAACTCTGTTGCCAAAAATAGAACGTATCTGCAACTAGAGCTACAGGAATTGGGGACTACTTTTATACCATGTCTAGGAATTGCCAAGGGTGGCAAAAATGTACCTAGTCACCTGCTGCCCTTACATCAGAACACAGAATGCTGTTTTAGTCACTCCTAACATTATTTTAAATTACAAATTGGGAACGTAAAAGCCAGATGAAACTAAGGCATTTACCTCAATGTTTTCCTCTCCAAACTTCTCCACTGCAGCCTCTTCTGAATATCCACAGGCTCCATACTCCAAAGGAGTGAATACAGTGGTTGGAACATTCACATAGTCACACTGTGTTGCATTCAAAAGAAATTTAAAAACCCACACAACATTAGTAATAAAATCAGCACAATAGATAAAAATTCAGCAGTTTGAAATTCAGACAGGAGGAAAGGTTGGATTATTTACATTTCTGAAAGTTACCTTTTCCTTTTAAATTAAAAAAGTTGTTTTAAATTAAATCATAGGTTTGGTGGTGTCCCTCTCAGAGGCATTAACTAGAGCAAGAACAGAAAGAATTTAAAGCCACACTGACATTAACATGCATAGATTAAAAGAAAGAGGAGCTTCAGTGCCCTGTTTTAAAGACAAACCACATCAAAGGTGTGGTAAATTTTTAAAACAGATAAAAAGTAGACTGTTCAACTGCCTATGCAAAGCATGTTATTTTTATCTGGAAATGCTGCTAAGGAACCCTACCATCAAAACCCAACCTCTTTTTTATCGACTGTAGCCTAGATAGCAGTGCCAAAGAATCAAAGACATGAACTACAGCCATTTGGGGGGACAACTGGAAATAGAGCTAATACTGTGGGCCTAATCACGTACCATGAGAGACAATCTTTGTCCCTTGACTTCAATGGAGCTTTACAGTGTCCTGGAAGTTGTCTCTGGGCAACACCTAGGCCTGACCATCCTCACTATAAAGAAGTTTCTTCTTACATTTAAATGGAATATTCCTGTGTTTCAGCCTGAAATCTAGTGCCTCTTGTCCTGGCCCTTCAAACCACTGAAAAGGGTCTGGCTCCATCTTCTTTAGTCTCTACCATCAGGTACAAATACACATCGATATAAGAGCTTCCTAAGCCATCTCTTCTGCAGTGTATAAAAACTGCCAGCTGTCTCAGCCTCTCCTCATATGCCAGATGCTCCAGTCCCCTAGTAATAGCCATAGCCCTCTGATGGACTTGCCCTATCTTTCTTGTACTGGGGAACCCAAAACTGGACACAAAATCCAAACCTGTCTCACAAGTGCAAAGTGGAGAGGAAAAGGTCCCTTCCCTAAACCTGCTGGCAATGGTCTGCCAGGATGTATCTGATGCAGGATGCAGTCCAGGTGCTGAAAAGGGCAACGAGGCTGATTAGGGGTCCTGAGAACTGGCCTTATGAGGATAAGCTGAGGGAGCTGGGGCTGTTCAGCCTGGAGAAAAGGAAGCTGAGGGGAGAACTCTCTACAGCTACATGAGAGGAGGTTGTAGTGAGGTGGATGTTGGCCTCTTCTCCCTACTGACTAGTGATAGGACAAGAGGAAATGGGATTGCACCAAGGAAGGTTCAGGGGGGAATATTAGGAAAAATTTCTTCACAGAAAGAGTGGTGAGGCATTGGAACAGGCTGCTCAGGGAGGTGGTAGATGCCCTGTCCCTGGAGGTGTTAAAAAATGGGTAGATGGGGTATTTCAGGAGATGGTTTAGTGATCAGGGCTTGTAGGGCTGATGGTTGGACTTGATGATCTTGAAGGTCTTTTCCAACCTTGATGATTCTATGATTTTATGTCACTGACCTTCTTTGCCACAAAGGTACATTGCTGACTCACAGTCAACTTTTCCTCCAGACACCCTAAGGCTGTCTCTGCACAGCTACTTTCCAGCTGCTGAGTCCCCATCCCGTGGTGGTGCATGGGGTGACACCTTCCCATGCACAGGACTTTGCACATCTCCTTGCTCAACTCCATTAGATTCTCATCAGCCCATTTCCCTAGCCAAATGAGTGACAGCACAATCACTGGGTGCATCAGACACTTATCATAGAATCATAGAATGATTAAAGATGGAAGGGGCCACACTTCTTTTGATGCAGCCCAAGATGCAGTTGCTCTCTGGGCTCCAGCACACACTGGTGGCTCATGTCGAGCTTCTCATCAAGTACTACCCCCAAGTCCTTCTCTTCAGGACTGCTCTCCAGCCATTCCTACCCCAGCCTGTGGATTTCAACTCTTAACTAATTTCTTTTGTGACTGGGGATCAACTAAGATGCAGCTTCCCATTCTTTCCCCACCCATCCATAACACTTTGTTAGGTTTTTTTATATAATCACTCCTTCTGAATTTGTTACAACAGCAATGTAAGCCAGGATCCCATCTAGGAAGTCATTAATTTCTTGGATTCACTGAAAGAGATGATGCTTTCTTTGGCAGCCTGAGGATTTTCATACCTAGAGGGACAGTTATCTGGCATAAAATGTAAATTAAGACATATCCATAATACTGCAGGAAGAAAAAAATTCTGGCTTCTGCCACGGTTTTCTTCAACTTTCTCTGGCTGATGTAATGACATTATGCACACTGATTTAGGGGCTGTTACTGCTATACCTGCCAACCTACAATAAACAGCTCAATTAAGCTCTAAATCTGACCAACAGCTGAACTTGATATGAATACAGCAGGTTCTAAAAGAGAAAAACCTTTGTGCTTATGCCCTATGGTTACGAGCACGAGAGAAGCACCCACATCAGTGGTACTCGGATAACAGTTCTCTAAAAGCACTCTCCCTTCCCCTGGGTGTAAAGAGAATGTGTAAATGAGTACCCATGTTACTCCTATTTGGACTAGCATAACTTGACTGAAACCTACAGCTGCAATAGTATGAAATGTAAATACTGCCTTGATGAACTCAACGTCTCAGGTATAAGTACATGCTGACTTATTGGTACATTCGATCTTCCTTTGTGTCTACCTTCAATTATAAGCAGAACTATGTATTAAATTGAAAACATATGGATGGGAAGTGAAAAAAATGGTGGAAATCATGTTGAAAATTAAGAGCATCACAAACCCTTCTTACACTCTTATTTAGGGAATGTAGGTAGGTTCAGTTAACTGCCTCTGTATTAGAGTTAAAGCATTTAATGGGACGGAAATGATTGCTGACTTTTAGGTAAGATGGTAGAATTAAAAACAATTATCTCAGTTAATTTTATTATCAATATACTTTGAGAGAAATACAAAACCTCCTAATAGGAAAAAAGAGACTACTGCTTAATCCATAAGGAATTAAACTCATCCTACACAATTACCAGACCATATCTGCAGTAATATCTTTGCAAAGGGAAAATTAAAGTGATCATCAAAGCTAATCCTTAAAAGCCTACTGAGTTTTCCATCAAGCAGACTTGCACTCTGCACTTAGAAGTAGAGCAGTGACCGTGTTGTGTAGCAACTGTTACTTACCTTTCTGGTTGCCCCTGCATACAGCCTTTGAACTAACAATCTTCCTGCCTGGATTGCCACTGGTGTGAGCTCCAACTTGTCCTGCAATATATCTCCAACAGCATAGATATACGGCACGTTTGTTTGCTCCTCATCGTTGACAGGAATTTTTCCTGTTCTGCAATTTGAATTAGTAAGAAAAAAAGATCTAAGTGTTCTGCTGTGAAGACTGGAGATGTAAATAACCTTGCACGATTTAGGCCCTTCGACTTTGAGAGCAAGGCACATATTTGAACTATGAGGGAAATAAGTCATATTCATAATCTCACAGCCTTGGGGAAGAATGTAAAGTAGTGCACATTTCACTAAAACTACAGGAATTTACTGGGTAAGGAGGTAGTCCCTGAAGCTGCAATCCATCTCCTGAGTAAATTCTTTGCTGAGGCATGAATCCTTCCCTCAAACATGCTCTTCCACCAGGTGACTTGTGTACTGGCAATCTCAAGGAATGACAGTAAGACATCATCTCCCACTCAAACTGTAGGAAAAAAGAACTTCTCCACTACTGAAATTCCAGTCCAGTGGCCAAAGTAGTTTCTATATACTGACCCTTCAGGCTTCTACACAGACACAAGTCAAGCTGTTAAATGCCCTAATTAACGGACAGTCACCAAGCTTTTTAGCTGTAAGTGTACTGAGCTAATGCAAGTTTTTAATGATTAATTTTTTTCACTTCATTAATAACTAAGGTAGTGCAGTAATTACTGCAGGAAACATATGTAACAGGGAAAGTTAATCAGACAGGCACAGAAGCAGTCACACAGCTACTTGAGGAACCAGTGGTGATCCCCATATTTAAAAAAATTACTTCATCCATTTTGCTCATTAACAAATGTAGAGTTTATGCTAATAAATGCAAGTAATTTTATAGCTCATTCTATTAAGCTAGTAACAGGTATCCTGATAACAGACGGATGTGTATTATTCTACAAGACAACACAAGTCTGACAATTTCGAGTGGACCAAAATTTTCACTTATTTAGAACACCACAACAGCACCCTTAAGCAACATCATTCACTGTGCTCATACACAAAGATAGATAGATAGATAGATAGCAGGTAAGAAAGGCAGGTAAGAAAGACAGGTAAGAAAGGCATCAGTTGCCCTCTACACTGTTTTTCCATCGACTACCAAGTCAATTTCATGGTTCTATGGCTTTTCTTCAAAGGCAACATCTTCTATGCTCCAGATGCTTAGAATATGTTTTAGCTACCAATATCCATAATGTTAGTGCTGCAATGACCTCACTACATTAAACATGAAAATCTCTAGAGCATCCAGACTGCTCCCAGGAGCTGCTCCAAGGCAAGCAATGTTCTCCTCCAAAACCTAAAACACGTCAGCTCCAACTGTGAGTTTAAGGAATGCTACTTTGACCTTGCATTTCAAAATAAACACACAGTAGCATTTCGATTAAAAATTTAAACAAAACCCACCACACTAAAAGTCTGTATGAACAAACAGATCTCTGCTCCAAGAGGTGGTAGAGAGAAAAAAAAGGAGATAGGAATAAGAGCACAAGGAACAATGGACAGATGCTAGAAAGCCCACTCATGGAAGAAGCTGAGACTAACCTGTGGACCTAGACAGAATGGAACGGACATTTCTGACTCCCAGCATTTAGGAACTGACATTTCAGTACCAAAAAAGTAAACATGGCAGTACTATGGAAAAAAATGCAGCTACCTGCTACACTATTCAAGCATATGCGAAAGGGAAACAGATTTTTCCTCAAAGCATCTGAATATTCATGCACCACCATCACTGCAGTAGTGAATGATACAAGCTCACTAGCCAGTGGTGTACAGACATCTGTTCTTACTTTTCATTGATCTTCACTCCAACTTTGTCCAAGCCAATTTTTCTTGTGCATGCATCTCTTCCAATTGCTAGCAACACCTGCAAAACAGCAATGAACACATTACTCATTTATTTAAACCTTAAAAGTGCATCTGCATGTGGCTCTCTATTATTTTAATTATATACCAAGGATTAGTAGCTAAGGCTTGGTCCCATTTAGATTAATAGGTTTGTTACCCATTGTACATTCACAGAGTTCAAGACAAGCCACACCATCACCATGACCTAACAATACCAGGTTTTAACAATAAGAAGCAGCCTTCCCTAGAAAAATATCCAGAGAGTAGTCTCAACAAATCAATTAGGGCCAGGAAAGGGCTCTTCAGGAAGGAAACTCAGGTGCTTAGGCAAATAGAAAGACCATAAAACAACCTGTTTTGATCAGAAAATACAATTTACTTATATAGGCTCTCAGACAAGCCACTGCTGAAAAATATTATTTGTTGAACATGAGTTGTTTGAACATTTATTCAGAATGATGGACAGACCATGCCAGATTCTTACTTAACCTCTTAACTTGGCTACCCTAACAAGCAAAGTAAGTTCCATACTATGACAAGGAAAAGAGCTATTCCCTTTGCAGTCCTGGACAACTGCCCAGGTAGCCACACAAAGCTTTTCTTATCACAACTAAGAACTGTGCTGAAGGAATCAGAGATCTGCTTCAAGTCTTTTGGATGACCAAGCATGCCAGATCTTCAGAGCTGAAGGTCTTAAAACGCATCATAACAGCTCACAACTACTATGAGTAAGAGCACTGCAGTGAAAGATGCAGTAACAATAAGAAATCAGAAGTTTCCTTAATGAAAAGACTGCACCAATTTGCTGGCTAAAAAAAGCTTTCACTATGATGGACCAGGAAAAACAGTATTGCAACACTGTGCAGTGGCACTGCTATTGTTAAACTTTCTCATAACACTAGCACTCAGATGTTCTAAGGCATGTCCTTGTTATGGGATGACTGATGCACTACACAGATGAATGAGGTCAATGGCACACAGTTTTTGCAGTCTGAAATCCCAGGCTGGCAAATGCTTGTCTTTACCCACTCTGTGTAGTTCCAAATACCTAATTCACATTTGTGTTTTTTTTCCTTTCAACATCAAGGCTTAAGAAAATTAATGGGGTGGGGAGTGATGGAAACAGTCAATCAAACCTATAATGGCATACCTGCACACTGCAATTTTACTGTTTTAAGTGTGTAATGAAGTTCCCTGACTGATTTGCTACAGGGCATCAGTTGTTTTTGTGAAGGCATTGTGTCAACAACAGGTCTTGACAAGACATTACATTTGCTTGTTTAGCTCCTGCTCAGACCATTGATTTGTGCTAATTCCAGAACATGCTTTAGTTACTATGAAAGTTATTATACATCATTTCTTATAGCTTATGACAAATATCCCACTGGGGAGAAATCCTACAGCTGACTGCACATGACCAAGTCCATCTACACCCCTAAGCTAAAAAGCAGGTTTCAAAAGTATGCAAGTGATCCGGTAAGGCACATGGGAGTCAGGATCACGCACTCTGGGACTTCTGTCACATTAGTTACCTGTTGATTGTGTGTAATTAGCATATTGTAATGATTAAAAATAATTTCCAAAAATCTAAACTATGGATAAAACACTTCAAAAAATCTTAGCATTAAATGGAAGGCTATTTCACATTCTTTATGTATCTAAACAGCACTTACAGTGTTGTATTCCCCTTCGATTATTTCATTCCCCTTTGTGGACTTGGCTGTAACTTTCAATCTTCCAGGAGTTCCTTCCTCAATCTG